TTTGTCTCTCTCATGGTCATTTGCTTCACCTCTGATCTTCCTATGACCACAAGGAATGGGCTAGCTTGGTGTCTCTGGAGAAGGAAGCTAGGGCATATTTCCTACCCTAATGGCCCTTTCTCTAGGTGTCAGGGACTAGGGAGAGAAATCTGACTCCCTTGGAGTGGGAAGGATGGAAAGAGGTGGGGTCAGGAGTGGGAACTGGAAATAGCACAGGCCTGAAGATAAGTTTTAACACTGTGTGTCATTGGGCTAGCCATTTCTTCCAATCTCATTTTCCTCATCTAGACAGATATGCATTCTCTCAAGTTCTTTCAAGCTCTAAATTCTATGGTCCTCTCACTTGACCACTCTGACCCTCAGTTTTTCTTTCTAGAAATTGAAGGTAATAATATGCACACTACCTCCCTCTCAGGACTGTTGTGCAGAAGGCTCTCCACAAACCTTAAAGCATTACATGAGCTATTATTATATGGTTGGGCAAGAGTCATGCTTCAAGGAGTGTGCTAAGGCCAGTTCTCAGTCCCTCCCCTGAGGCCCAGTCCCCAGTTATAGAAAATTGTTAATATAATGACAGAAATCGTTAATACCAAATGTAATATGGACTGCCACTCTCGTATATGATTGTTGTAATGTCAGAATGTCAGTAATGTCCTTGCATTCCTACTCTTAAGATATTTACTCTTGGGATATCTTAAGATATTTACCCAGGGATGTTGCCTTGTGGGGAGGCCAGCTCAAGCTGGATCTCAGTTTCTAGTGTCCTCGCCCCCTTCCATTGGGATTCAAGGCACAAAGGGCAAAAGAGCCCGAATGAAGTAGCTTTTCTTGGCCAGATAGCCAAGGGCCACCTCATACTACCTCTTCCCCCTTTCATTCTAAAGATATAAGAAGGTTTTGCATGGGTCTTAGCGCTGGGAAATCTACTGGACATCCCCCAGGGTGGCACGTTTGCTACCCTGTTATCTCAACTTAAAGATGATTTATTCCATGCTTTGATTTATTTCAGGATTTGACACCTCCCAAGGACCTGGTTTAACAAGGTGATGTAGATACAGCTGAGAGGCAAAGGCAGGGACTCAGAAATAACCAACAGAATCAAATAGAGCAATGGAGAGGTACTGAGGCACTGAAAGGTAGACAGAGTTGGACCAGGGAAAGAATTCAATGCAATTCAGCATTCACTGCCTTTATTAGGTACTCTTCTATGAGCCAAGCCTGACACGAGGTGAAGAAAAGAACACAAAAACAGAGGAAACAGTCCTTGCCCTCCAGGAGTTTACAATCCAGTAGGCTATCTAGGTAACTGGTGTGATAGAGGAAGGAGTCCCACACTTTGCATCAAGAAGACTCATCTTTCGGAGTTCTAATCTGGACTCAGATACTTAATAGTTGTGTGACCCTGGGCAAGTCACTTAACCCTGTAAAATGAGCTGGTGAAGGAAATGGCAAGCCACTTTAGTATCTTTGCCAAGAAAACTGGAAGACTGAAAAAACAGAACAACAAAGGAGAATGAAGATACATGTAAACAGATGGTAATTACAAATTAGCCTTAGTTAAGTAAAAAAAAAAAAGAGAGCTCAAAGAAGCATTAAAATGTAAATTCCTTGAGTTTTGTCTTTCATCCCTAGCACTTAGCATGCAAATAGTAGGTAGTTAAGATTGATTTGATGGATTGAGAGGTGGAAGTGGGAGAGACTTTTGGAGCTGAGGATGGAAAGAGAATCTTCGGTAATTTTTGTTTCTCTAAGGCCCTTTTCATTTTCTATAGCCTCTGGCTGGGGTAATCTTACCCACTCCCACCCGTTCAATTATCATCTCTAAGCAGATGATTCCTAGAACTCGGTTCCCTGCCCCGTTCTCTCTCCAGAGCTCTAGTCCCACATCACCACCTGTGTAGCTGAGATTTCAAACTCAAAATGTTCCAAACCAAATTCCTTACCTTTTCTCCTAACTTCACTCCTCTTCTTACCTTCTTTATTTCTGTAGAAAGCACTACCATCCTTCCAGTCATTTAACTTAATAATAATAATAGCTAACATTTACAGCATTATTGCATTTATATGGCACCTACTGTGCTAAAGTGCTTTGCAAAGATTATCTCATTTGATCCTCATAACAACTGTGGGAGATAGATGGTATCGTTATCCCCATTTTATAGTGGAGGAAACTGAGGCAGAGTGACTTACCCAAGGTCAGACAGCTAGGGAATTTCTGAGACCAGATAGGAACTCAAGTCTTCCTTACTCCAGATCGAATGCTCTATCCACTGCACCACCTAGCTGCCCTAGTCGCCAACCTCGGAGTCGTCCTCTCCTCTCCTCTGCACTATTGATCATCAACTTTCCCTGCCCCCTCTCCCCATATACAATTCCCCATCAGTATCCAAGTCTTGTTGATTCTACCAGCACAGTAGCTACCCGTACTCTTCTCCGTTCACATGGCCACCACCCTGACCTCTTCACTATTGAAGCAGCCCCCTCAATTCTCCTCACCATCTCCAAACTACCTTCCACACAATGACCAAAATGGTGTCCCTTAAGCACACACCTGATCATGGCACTCACCAGCTAAGTTGCTTAGGTGGCTGACTACTGACTCTAGAACATGTACAAACTCCTCTCTTTTCCATCTTCAAAGTCCTCACTGTCTGGCTCCCACCTATCTCTTCAGACAGGTTTCCCTTCATCATGAACCCTACCTTTCAACCATACTGGGCTATAATGCTAGTCCCCAGACACAGTGAAAAGGACTTGGCAACCAATGAGACATGAAGGTCGAGAAAGAAGGAAGAATGTCGGCTGACTCTGAAGGTCCAAACTTGAGTAACAAGGAAGCCAGTGGCCTGGATGCACTGGTAAAAGTCTAACAAAAAACTCTCTGGGGAAAAGAATGCCAGCAGGTCATCCTTTTAAATTTAATCTGAAGTATCAACACTTTCTCCTCTTAAGCTTAGGCAATCAACAAAACAATCTTCGGCCAGATTCAAACTCAGGAAGATGGGTCTTCCTGACTGCAGGCCTGGCATCTTATCCACCGTACTAACTGGGACATAGCGAGCACTGAATAAATGCTTAGTTGACTGACTGTGGAGTTTAAGGTGCTAGTAGTTTTCACTTTTTCTTTCTATCTCCAGCACTTAGCAGAATGCCTGGCACATAGTACTGATTAATTGACTGGTGGAGACTCCAAGAGAAGAAGTAGGTCTGGAGCTCAGGGAACTGATTGAGTTTGAATACATTATTTTGTAAATCATTTGCATAAAGGTGTTATTTGAAGCTGTTGCCAAGAGTATAGGGAAAGAAAAAAAAGAGGTCTGAGGACAAAAACTTGGGGGACACCCATATTTAGAGGGGAAAAAGAAAATGAGAAGTCAAAAAACAGGCAGTTAGGTGCAGTGGAGAGAGTGAGTTTGAATCCTGCCTTAAGTTTGCCACATACAAGGTGCGTAACCCGGGGCAAGCCATTTGACTATAGTCCTCAATTTCTTTATCTGTAAAAAGGGGATAAGAGTACCCACCTACCAGGGAGGTTATGTAAATAAAATGAGGTAAGATACATAAAGTGCTATATTAACGTTAGCTATTATTATTAAAGGCACAGTGTCACTGTAGCCATGGGAATAAAGCACACCAAGAGGAAAATTATCAAGAGAGGCAGTCTGATATAGTACTGCACCTGAGCCAGGGAGACCTGGATATGAACTCTGGAAACTAGCTCTGATATTCTCTGATTTTTAGCTTCCCCATCTGCAAAATGGGGATGACACCTTAAAATATTGGAGCGTTCTGTGAAGAAAGTGTTTTATAAAAACTTAACGATCTACATAAATGTGACGTTTTTATCAAGAGTCAGAGCTTTGAATGCCGCAATGAAGAGTTTGTGTTTTATCCAAAAGGCAAAAAAGAATTACGGAAGGTTATTGAACAGCGGAGTGATTCAGTCCGTCACCTTATGCCTTAAGACGATGTGGGGACCTCTGTGGAGGAGGCTGGTCTGAAGGGGGGTAGGGGAGAGAATGGATAAGGGCATAGGGAGGTTTGGTCACGTGAAAGACGGGAGGTTAGGAAGCTCACTCAGATAGATGGCTTGAATATTCTCAGTAAAATTGAAGACAAGGGCATAGGAAGGAGGGAAGGAGCATTGTTGGGGGCTTGAGGAGAGTATGAAAGATTTGCTACGCTGCTAGTGGAAAGCATAGGTCACGAGAGTCCCAGTGAAGTTAGATACACGAATTTATAGTCATCCCAGTCAGCAGTTTCCTGACTTCCTCCAGCGGCTCGGGTAGGAGATGAGGGCTGGAATGGTCTTGGGTGGTGCAGAAGCCGAGAATCAGAGACGGACGACGGAGGTACAGGACTCGGGGTGCGGATGGGGGATGAGCAGCGCAGCAGGGAGGAGCCAAACAGAACAGCCCAAGAGGAAGCCTGAGAGCAAGGTGACTTCAGGAAGCGCCTAGGCTCCGCCCGGGTCCCGATCCACAATTCAGACCCTAGCAGCAGCACCCCGCCTCTGCCAGCCCCATCCACAAGCGGTGCCCCAGGCATCACTCTTTCCCACTCTTGCCCCACCCCTGCCACATTTGGCCCCTTGTAGCATCCCCCGCCCACCTCCCACCTGCCTTGACTTTGATCTGTTCCCGGCCAACGTCCCACCCCTGCCCACCCCTGCCTGCCCCATCCACGTTGCCCCCCCCCGACTGTTCTCCACTGTGCCTGACCCTGCTGCTGTCGCCTGGCAGAGCCCCACTTCTCCTCATCTACGACCTGTCCCCCAACAATGTCCCACCTGGCCTGCCCCTGCCTCCCTGTCCCTGGCAGTGTCGCCCCTCCCGCTCTGTTCAAGACCCGTCCCCCTGACTGCGTCCCCTACCTGGCCTGCCCCTGCCTCACTGTCTCCTGGCATCGCGTCCCATGGCTCCGGCCCCAGTGGCTCTCAGGTCCCTGGCAATGACCTCTCCTGCTCCTCTCCCAGGACCATCACGCGTTCGCCTCCTTACCTGTGCGTTGAGATCTTGTAGGGGCCGCGCCCCAGCCCTCCAGCCTCCTTGGACGAGGCTGGGGACACTTGGCGTTCCTCTCTCTCAGTCTGGGGCCACCAGGAGCCTGGGAGAGGAGGCCAGGGGGCCGGACCAAGGCGCCTCACCCCACCCTCTCTCCTCCCCGTGGCCAGGGGAGGAGCCCGCCCAGCCCCTCGGCACCCTCCCAGAAGCCGGGGAAAGCACCCAAAGGAAAACGGCGCCCCGCCCCGCGAGCAGCAGCACTCTATCTGTTGACTTGTCCTTCCCTCGATTTCACTTAAATTCTCTCCGTCTCTGCCTCGGCTCCTCTATTCTTTCCCCTTTTCCTCCTTTCCCTGTCCTTTCTTTCTGTCGTCCCCAGCCCACACACCCACCCTGCCCTTTCTTCCCTCTCTGCCTCAGTCTCTCTGTGAGCGACCTTGTCTCCCTCTGCAGACTTCTGTCCCCTGAGTCTTCCTCTCCCCCATCGTTTCTCCCTTGTGCTCGCTCTTCTTCCCCGGCTGTCCCAATGGTCTCTGAACCTAGCCCCTCTGTCTCTCCCCCCGCCCCCGCTGTTATCCCCTCCTCTCTGCCTCCCTTCCTCTCCCACTCTCCCACCCTCCCTGCCTGTCTCCCTCACTCTGTCTTCCACCTATTCCTTTGGTCATTCCCCACACACCTTCTCAGCCAGCTGTTTCCCCCTCACCTACAAACACCCCAACCCCTCCACAGTAGTCCAGGAGGCTGCCCTTCTGAGACTCTGCCTCCAGTCCTCCCGTCTGTGGTCGCTAAACATGCCGCCTTGATTGTACCTCACTCGCATATAACTTCTCTGCTGAATCCCACGGATTTCTACCCTGGCAGGCAACAGACCCCGGACTTTTCCCTCCTCTGCCTGGCGCCTCTCTACCCCATATTCTTTCCATTCAGTGAAGACTCAAGTCAAATGTAAAAAAGTGCCTCATTTCTGTGCCAAAGGGTAGTGATGTGGGAGCTGAAATAGAAAGTGAGAAAGTTTCCAAATTTGAGGGATAAAAGGAAGCTATGATCACTGGGGTTGCTGGCCAAGAAAGAGCTGGAACTACTGAGGTCCACTGTGGCTGGGTGGATAGAGCATTAAGCCAAGTCCATTTCCCAGGATTACTGCTCCTTACAAGGAGCTGATCCAGAGGGATCTGACCTTTAGCATAAGGGCTTTCCCTTCGCCTAACCTAGCTCTTCCGAGGCCCTGAGACTCCTGACCTCCTTGGCCCAGGAGCTTGCTTGGCTAGGCAGACTCAGAGATCTGTTGTACACACTCTCTACCCTTTCTCTTCTCCTGCTGCTGCCATGGGTAAATAGACTCCAGGGCCTGGCACTTACTCCTTCTTTCCATTCTTCCTGCTATGTACCACATACTCTGCCCCACGAAAACAGCATTTGGGGGGGGAGGATTTATTCACAGAGGAACAGAGATTAGACAGAATCAGGAATAATGCATCTGGGAAAAGTGACTTGTATAAAAGTAATCTAACCAGGGGAAAGCTAAATGGGGTCTAAGTTTAGTATGATAAATAAGCAAACATACCTTGTACAGCCTGAACAGATAATATCTCACACATATATGAATCACTATTTTAAGCAGATGCAGATGCGGTGGTGATATATAACACAAACACTATTAAAACATTACTGAATTCATAGTAGCTTTTGCCATTGTGTATTTTTTAAATCAGTAAATACAAATAGTATAACAACTATCAGGAGAGTTTGGGATATTAAAGAGAAGTTCTCCCATTCAATGAGGTTGGGAACCATTTTCTTTTTTTGTCCAGCTATAGTTCCTTGGGCCTAACTTAGCATATGATTCTCACCAGGCTGTGAGTGTCTGGTTCCCTTTTGATGTACTGTTTCTGGACTCCTCTCTCCAAAAATTGGGTGGGGGGGGAGAGGGAGAGAGAGAGAGAGAGAGAGAGAGAGAGAGAGAGAGAGAGAGAGAGAGAGAGAGAGAGAGAGAGAGAATGGTTTGTGTGTGTGTGTGTGTGTGTGTGTGTGTGTGTGTGTGTGTGTGTGCTTCTGAAACCCACCTCCAAAGGCCAACTAAGATTGGCTCTTCTGTGCCTGACAGATTGGGTTGACTGGTCCATTTTACAATCCTAAGGATCGCTGGCTATGGAACTTGTCCCAACCAATGAGAAAAGAGAGAAATACAAATGGCACAACATTATCATCAGCTCATATTTGGACTGGGTGCCCAAAGATGAACCTGTCCATCATCTAGTGGTGGTTAGGGTACAGCAGATGGAGTTCTGATACTGGAGTCAGGATGACCTGAGTTCAGATCCAGCCTCTGACACTAGCTATGTGATGCTGTGTACGTCACTTAACCTCTGCTTGCCTCAATTTCCTCATCTGTAAAATTGGGATACTAATAGTACTTACTTATCTCCCAGGGCTCTTGTGAGGACCAAATGAGAACAGCACTCAGCACATAGTAAGTGCTGTATAAATGTTAGCTATTGCTAGATGGCGCTTTAGTGCACAGAGCTCTGGGCTTGAAATCAGGAAGACTCATCTTCCTGAGTTCAAACCCAGCCTCAGACACTTACTTGCTGTGAGCGTCCTTGGGCAAGTCGCTTAATCTTGTTAGCTCAGTTCCTCGTCTATAAAATGAGCTGGAGAAGGAAATGGCAAACCAGTCCCAACTGGTTTGCCAAGAAAACCCCAAATGGGGTCATGAAGAGTCAGACTTTCACGACTGAAATGACTCAACAATAACAACATTATTAGCTATCATTACCTGGTTGGATCTCAAGGGAGAAAAGTTCAGGACAAATAAAGATGTCTTAATTCACCAAGTAGGTACCTTATTGGTCCAAAGATAGAACACATGTTTTCCCCTCCAAATAGAGTTTGTATCTAACCCAAGTGCAGCCTATAAATCACAGTCTTAAAAAGAGGACAGGGAAAATAACAAGGATGAAAAAAAGCTAGGATAATACAAATGAACAAAAGAATTTATTTGAATTCAAAGCCAAATTGGTCTATTTATTGGCTATTCTCCAAACACCACCTCCTTGCATGGTCTGACAATCCCTCCTGACCTCTTTTTCTTAGAATTCCTATACTCAAGTAAAACTCTGATAAAAAGACTTTCCTGATTATCCTATATATATTTCCTCCAGAAAGAACGTTGAGTTTATTTATCAGTGTACAAGTTATACATTCCTGGTAGAATGGAATCTCCTGCAGGGCAGAGAGAATTACTTTGGTCTTTGTATTTTCAGTGTTTAGCACAAGGTCTTGAAATAATAAATGTTTGCTGAGTTGAAATTAGAACTAGAAAGTGACTTTATGGTAAATATAGACCATAGCCCTAAAATGAATTCTTTTCGAAAAGAAAAAAACACGGTATTTAGTGAAAAATTTTTTCTTAAAAAAAAAAACTAGATCTGTCAAAGGATAAGAACAAACAGTTCTCAAAAGAAGAATTACAAATTATTAACAACCACATAAATGAATGTTCCAAATCTCTAATAATAAGGAAAATTCAACTCAAAACAACCCTGAGCTTTCACCTCACACTGTACAAATTGACAAAGATGATAAAAGTTGGGAAGAGGCAACGTTGGAGGGGTTGTGGGAAGGTAAGCACACTGGTACATTGTTGGTGGAGCAGGGTTATTATATGCAAAGCCTTTACTAGGTGCTAGTCCTACCTGGAAAAACCTGTGTTTGGACTCACCCATATACTAACAGTCTCAGTTATCTTTGTGCTCCTGGACTCTCAGTTCTACAGGGTAAAAATATTGTTCCTTAAGGTTAGCCAAATCTAACTTGCAGGGGATACTAGGCCAAGTGCCCAGGGACTCAGGCTACAAATGTTCTACTCCTCACTCTCCTGGAGAAAGGACTCACAAGGCAAGGCCCAAGAGTGCGTTGGCTGTTAGTGCGAGCTTGGGCACACTGGGTTAAGCATTAATTAAGAAGGCTTTTCTGTGGGAGGGTCAGAGTCCTTGGGAAGGGCTGTCTTCACTGGAGTTTGCTTGCCTGACCCAGCTGCCAAAAGAGGTTATATGACCATACAGCCCTTGAACAAAGGGTCCTGTTGTCCTCCTTCTCCCTCTTCAGCCCCTCCCCCTGCTCATTCCTGCGAGTTGGCCTCCCTAGAGCAGTTTCCCCTTATTCCTCCCCCCCCCATCTTACTGAACAAAAGCCCAGCCAGGCCTCTTGCCAGGCTAGGGGTACCAGGGATCCAGAGAATGCCAGAGCTGGAAGGGACCTTAAAGCTCATTTAATCCCACCCCCTTGATTTATAGAGGAGACAACTGAGCCCCAGGAATGTACCCAGGAATCTTAGAACCACAGTAATTTTATACATTATTCCATTCCAGCCCTACAGGATGGTTAGCATAATTATTGCCTCCATTTTATGGATGAAGAAACTGAGACTCAGAATCACCAGCAAGCAAGCACGTATTAAGCGTCTATTACATTAAAGCAGGCACTCGTGTATAGCAACTAATCAGTTTCCTGACTCCAAGTCTAAAGTGTATCCATTGGGTCTCTCAGTCATAGAATGTCAGAGTTGGAATGGACCTTAGAACATAGATTGTAGACAAATAAATTTGAAAGACTTAGGAACTCTGATCTACACAATGACTAACCACCATTCCAGAGGACCCATGATGAAACATGCTACCCGTCTTCTGACTGTGAAGTGATGGCCTCAGGGTAGAGATTGAGGTGGATTTTTGTTTTTACATGACCAATGCAGGAATTTGTTTTCCTTGACAATGCACATTTGTTACAAGGGTTTTATTTTTCTTTCTTTATTTCAACAAAGGGGCAGGTGGGAGGGAGAGAAAATAATTTGTGTTAATTAACTAAACAATTAAATTAAAAAAGGGTATAGAATGTTAGAGTGGAGAAGTGCCTTAATACAGAGAACACAGACTATCAGAACTGGAAAGATTATAGGTTAAGACCACAGATCTTGAGTTGGAAGCGACCTCTGGAGACCTCAGAACAGAGAATATCAGAGTGGTAAGGGCATATAGAGAATATCTAATCCAATTTTCCCTACCCTATCCTATCTCCACATACCCATTTTATAAAGGAGAAAATTGAGGCCAAGAGATGGGGAGGAATTTTT